CCGAAAAGGCTGATAGAAACATGTTAGTCACAGGGACCTACAGTTTTTAGACTGGCGTCATTATAAAAGCTGAACAATAAAAAGTTCTGTCAATGCAAGTTAATCCAATATTTTCTTAATCGGCGGCTGAAAGGCATGTCTCGACAAAATCGTTTGAGCCTGCACACTCCGAGAGGGGCCAAACGCAATGGACGGTGCAAAATTTCTTTCCGACTGCTTTTTGTAAGCTTGTAATCCGGCAAAATAGTCTCACCCAAGAAACTGGCATTCTTCGTCGACAGCTGTCCAATATTAAACAACCGTACATATTTTTTTCTTCAAACTCCCATCGACGGTTTTTTTTCACCTCGGATCTCGAAAATTCGGCTACTTGTAGGCGGAGACGCCCGAAGTTTCGTGTGACATTAAACTCTCATTTTCGCCCAGGAATACCCTTGTTCTGGCAACGCGTTAAAGACCTGTACGTGAATTGTGTTAGGACGGAGAAGACTTACACAGCCTCAAATTCGCTAATTCCTGCCCACGGCCGGATTCTCTTACTGTCCCATGCCGAAATTGTTGACTAAGACCTACCTAACCCCTTTTTACCGCCCTCACCGATCTAATGCAATTACCGTGCGATATCTCTATTTAAATGGAGTGTGTTAAGGCCGTGACAATGATATTCATGCCAGTCATTTTCAATATCCTGCCTTCGCCGCGTCCAAATGCACCAAGTAAGTAAATATGTGTATCTCGGCGTCGCACTTGAATCCATAAGCACACACAAATTTACTGTTGGTCTATGCTGCTAACAATTGCCTCAGAGGTTTGCTTTATGTCGGTTGTTTCAGTTCCACAAATGGCTCCTGTCAGGTCATTGTTTTTTAGCTTCAGTAGTACCGATGGTTTGTCTGCTAAAGATGAACACTCCTCCGCGGGATCAATGGTGTCCTGCGTATTAATTAGCGAATGGTGATGGAAAATTATTCTCTCCCTCTGCCTACGAATGTATCCTGTTCTAACGGCAATCACAATGAGTGAATATAAGCATGGGCAGAATAAAAAACCGGACATAAGTTCCACTTCTTGCGTACCGTACAAGCTAATTTCACAGTCGATTCCACTCAATTGGTGAGAATCACCAGAACCTGCTGAGAGGGAGCCATTGCAACCTGACTGCTACTTCCGAAGACCACTTTTGTCACTTGTCATGTTTGCTCATCTGAAGAGTCGTCCAACATCGGCCTCATTCACCCCACCCCCGTTGTATGCCTGCGGCTGGACAAAGTGAAGCCGACTCGCAATTAGCTGAGTCCCAGTGACTGGTAGGGCATTTTGGCCCATCGCTCGCGCCT